ATTAGTATTAATAATATATGTTGTATATACGAGAATTGCAGCTCGTACGAAGTTTCAAATGGAAATTTAGAATCCTTCACTAAACATTTTAAACGATGATGTGGAGGTCACGGGAAGATTTTCTGATTATTTTACTGCCAGTAAGGTAAAATGCATCATTTGCTAAGCTGAACGCTTTGTTCTTTGCTGCTCAAGCCCTGATTCGGAATGCAAGACAAAACGGGATAAAGAGAGAGAAGAAATTAAACATAGGGCAATTGTCCGATAATTTTGGGGACATTTTGGGCTCCATAAGAATGCTACGAATCTGAAAGCCCTAATATTTATCAAGAAACAGAATTTTGAACCATGTGCCAGAATTAACTGGGATTCTTTTGAAAAAAACTGTTAGAAACATTTGAGAAATTCGAGAAAGACACCATTGAAAACATCATTCAATTTTTCCCCTTCCCAATTAAAATAATCTGGTTTCCATCAGTGACCCTTTATAGTATGAATTCGAGCTTGGATAATTAAATTTGTATTACCATGTTTATCATGAATAATATCGTCGGGGTAAACGCTGCAACCCATCCTGAAGTTATTGTTGATGTCATCCTAAGTATTAGGAGACATGTCATGGATGAAATCTGCAATACTGTCTATATTGGTAAATTCAAAACACTTCACAATTGGCACAGCAATACCGGATTAATGGTATTTTCAAATTTCAGTGAACAGAAATGCCGTGCCACTGGGAAATATGAGTTATGCCACTGCGGTTTGTGGAGAAACTTTTTTTTCACTACATGGTGTTAAAGTGACCTGAATCTTGAAATATGTTCAACCTTTCCAATCCAGTGATAACCTGCTAGATTAGATTATTTATTTGGCTTCTCAGTCATCTCCAAGATGGACTACACAACAAACATAGGCTTTTCCGTAAACAGCATTCCAAGTTATTAGTATCGAGGCTGACACCAATATTCTTGTTAAATCAAAAAACTTGTCCATTAAAAAAACATGAGACTTGATAATCACCGGTAACATGTGCAATAAGCACTTTTTACTGAGCCTATAGCGATATCTATAGAGAAATAAACCCACGTTAGTTTTTATCGTATTCATGCTATAAAACCGTTTAACATCAAATGCTCACGGTATTTCCAACAAATAGACGATTGCTTTTGCTTGCAAGGTGGTAATTTGCTATTTTCATGCACGGAGAGCATATAATGACAAGTCATGAATTACTTTAGCTTTACTTCACCATCTTTTATGTCGATTAAGTTGCAGAAAATTCATTTATGAAACCAACAATAAAAACAAGCTCCGTAACCTCCGTTATTATGCTATAAAACTAGCAACTATGCACTGAGAAAGCTTCTTACCGAGTTTAAACTAAACATCACCAGAATCGAACTTTCGGTATTTCTTAATCTTTCTCTAAACTATATAACTTTTTAATAAATTAGTTCGAAATACTTCATGTTTAAACTCTCACTTCAAATTTTAGTTCTCAGCCAACCTGAATCTTAATTAGTTCAAGTTAAACTTATCTGGGACTTTCAGAATATATTGGTTCACGCACAAAGAAATAACCTAGTTATTGAAATAATAGCTATAAAAACACTGTTCTACGTAATACGTCCAACATGCGATGATCCTGATCACAAATACATCGTCAGTAAAAAAGGCAGTAAACAATAAGGAAGTGGATATTTCCCAAGCCTTTATTCAGAGGTTTATCCCGAATTATTTATACAATATTAATCCCATAATCAGGAAAACAAGGAGAATGTTCATGTTTATCAAATGTTATGCTATTAGAAAGGAACTTGTCCACCATAAGAATGTCGGAGAGACTTCGAAGGTAACAGCATAGCATCCAACTCATCCGTTAAATTCTGCAGCATACAACCAATACCGTTCAGTACATCATCATTATTCGCTGATGTTGAATAACTTGAATTATGCAAACAAATAGAAAAATATTAATACGAATAATCAATAATTCAACAACTTGGCATTTTTAACTAAGGGGATCAGACAAAGGTATATCGCTTGTCATCTTCTGCAAAACTACATATTTCTCAGCAAAAATACAAGTTCTGTTTAAAATTCTGTTATGAATACCATAAAGGAGCGTCATCGTAATATCTGCAATATCTGTAGATCCTAAATTTTTAAATGCATGCATTTTAAATTAACCAAACTGTATTTTTGGTGAAAATCTAAATGGAATAATGTTTACCTGCGACGTGGCACTTTCGGCTGTGAAAAACTGGTATTTGTCGATGTTTCGCAACATTTCTGCCTTAACGGTAAGCCAACGCGACCTTTTATTGTACCACAGTTATCTTTTGCAAGTGAAGATTGATCGTTTGCGGAGAAAGAAGTACTCTCATTATACTGCTTTTCAAAATTACTACCATCTGCTGTCCCTGATACAGCTGTCGCTGCCATTGCCGATTCATGAAACGCCCTCAAAAGCTGAATGGACCCTTCACATGCTAAGGGTGCTGAAAAAAATCACCTTAAAAACGACTACAGCGAAGTTCACTACAACTACATCAAAAAGAATTTTAGGTAATGTTGGTTACCCAACTGTTATAGATTTCTTGGTTGTCTTAGGTTTTTCAGGAAGTATTCTCTTCCTTCGGATCCTTTTTTGTTTCTATGTATTACCAGTGTAAAATTATATTCACTTATAACAGCTTTTCTTCTGTTGTAGTGCAATATTTAAGCGCTTTTTCATCCAGAACAGTGTCACTAACCGTCGATGGATAATATCGAAGCGTTTCAGGCATACAGAAAGAACCCTGCTACGCAGACAGCGGTTTTACAAGTAATGTCAGAGTGAAAAGTTGTTAAAAAAATAACCAGGAGGAGGTGGATAGTCTTCTGAATCAGAACTAGTCGAATTTTCAGCGGTGCTTAAAATCTTAGCCGGGAGCACGAATAATTGTTGCTGGATGGCGGAATGTTTCTGGAGGCTTTCAACGGGAAGAATTCGAGAAAAAGAACACAGATTCATCTGCAGTGAACCTGTTTCTTGCTTATTCAAGCCAGATTCTAGCGACTGTCCATCAAATCTTTGCAAATGATATGGACCCGTTTCGTTCGCTGCAGTTGACTGATAGTGAGGACACACCTAAAAAGAGTGATGTCCAAACTGACAAATATTTTCACCATTCTCAATTTTTATCTGTTGGAAAAGTTACCTGAACGACTTGTTTTTGTGCGTGCGATTCAGGAGGAAAGACCTTACGAAGGTGTGAATGTTGCTTCCCGATAATATAATAATTTTCACATAAGTTGCTTAAGCTGGCTGGGTGGAAAGTTGATGTCGGAGCAGGAGGTGGTGGTGTCAGGTGTGAGCGCAAACCATTATAAACTGCCTAAAGTTTTTTAATTTTTTATGATACAGGTGTAAATTTCTTTAAATATGACTAGATTTGAAGTGTTTATTTGGGAGAGAAAATGGATAAAGATTATCACTGGAAAGACGGAGAAAAGAATTATTAAGAGTTGTTCTTAACAGGAAACTTGCCTGAGAATCTATTTTGTTATGATGTACTGCAACAAATCCGAGTCGCTGCGAACCACCATTCGGTTGAATTCGACCAAATTCATGGGCCTGTAAACAGTGAGGTGAACGTATAGCTCACATAATCTGTAAAATATAAATTCTCTAAAAAAAAAGCTTTTTCAATAATAGTCGATTTAACTGCTATCCAAAATAGAACCAAAAATTGTTTTCCACCCTAAATCGAAGTTTCAATTTCAGGGAATTCATCGTGAAATCATGTGTACAAAAGACCAAAATATCCAGGATAATGAAAGTTCAACAAACACTCCGTGCAAGTTCACCCCATGATTTGTTTTATTAAAAAAAGTAACTCTGAAGAATGGAAACATAGCGCCTCTGCCAAGTGGCATAACTACACTAGTGGCATAACTACACAATAAAAATAATTATGCATTGGTTCCCTCAGAAAAAAATGAGGTAAGTTCGTTAACCATTCTCTCTAATCTACAGTATACCCACATTTTAACCAATAGACAGTACAGTCTTCTCGGTTCTCCCAAGCTCCAAAGGTATATCGCGCCAAGCTAGAAGACTATTTATTAATTACCATTTCCACGCAATACTGAAACATCTAAGTTGGATGAAGCCACTTTTTCAAAACAAGACAAAAGTTCAAAAATAGCACTGTTGGTAGAACCTGCTTCAAAAACAATCCGTGTGTACGAAATATATACTCAACAAATATTCAAACAAAGTAATAGGTAAACCTTTATTTTCTTGATAGCAAGACCAAGACGTTTTAAATGCCCTAACTTCTTGATACCGATATCTTCGAAATCTTCCCATGTAAAATTCTGGATTTCACCAATTCTACAGTATCCTTGTTTCTCGAATAAAGTAACATACTCAGGAAGGCCAATTAATGGAAGCCACTCTCTGAAACATTCATTCAGCATATTCTTCCAACAGCAGATATTATTCCTGTTCGAGTAACAAAATAATTTGAGCAGCAAGTAGTTCGAAAATTTCTAACAACAAAAACAACCTTAACTCTCCCGATGGTATAAGTGTTGGCCAAGTATCAGTTATCCGCCACGTATGAATTTCAGAAATGAGAAGTTTCCGATGAATTGGATGGGTTATTCCTAATGCTGTCAAATCTTCAGATGTTATCCGAGCGATCGTCGAAAGATCGTAACCTTGAGTTAAGAATGCTCTTAAATATTCCGGGTATCCCAAACTACCCAACCACTGCGCCAAAATTTCTGCTTCCTGCAAGATGGTGGATGAGTCGTAACTAATGGCGTCAAAAATGGCGTTAATCTCAATTTACAGTCCAATAAATCAGATATTGATTTTACTTAATGAATAAGTGACACAAAAAATAATGATTGGGCTACTGCAAAAATAACGATCACCTGTGAGAAAAGGGAGAATCAAACTGAGGATGTGGAAGTGTTGAGAAGAATAAAATCCATCAAAACAAATAATTGACATTTTTTCAGTAAATTCATTAAAACTATAAATAACACTAATTTTGTCCATTTTAATATAAATTAAATCTTACTTTCCTTGTATTTATGTCACTAAAAACTTTTGCTGTTATAAAATTTCTATGCGTGTGGCATACCGACATTCCTTTGAGCATCATGTCAGAGAAGGATAATCTAGAAATATCCCCTAAATTATCTCTACGAACGTATTCAGCTCCTGAATTGTCAAACACATTCGACATATTATTTGTGATCAAAGAAGCATCACCACTACTACTGCTCTGCATTGAAAGACGCGATTGGGAATTGTGCGCTAGCAAACCCGATGATGATCCAGATACTGCAATTAATACAGAAAATTAAGACTACCAATATCAATAAGCAAATACATTTAGTCTTTGTGAGATTAACTGGCTATAAGTCCGCAAAAAATTCCTGACTGAAACTACTCAAACTCGGCATCGTTAGATAAGAAAATCAGCAAAAGAAACAAACCAGTGGATGAAGTTCTTAAAAATGAAGAATTACTACCAATAGCACCTTGAATACCACCTGCTGAACAAACATACGAGGAACCACTCTAAAACAAATTAACTGCTCACACAATCGAAAATTTCAACTTTGTTATTCTATTCAACATATGTAAGATTAATATTATTATTCTTATCTTAATCTTATTATCCCACTTTTTTTTTTTACAGTGCTACTAAAACTCTGGTTTAATCAAGTTCCATCAAGACATTAAAATTTTCTACCTCAGTCAGAAAGCAACGCTATAACGGTTCGTTTTTGAAGTTATAGTCTACTTGTGCTCTGTTATTCCTTTATCTAGTCAATGGAACTTGATGTGTCACTCTGAAAAATATCTTACGAACGTTATTTATATTGACGACTTGTGTGATGAAGTCCAAAATCCAAATCCAAAAACTCTTATGAACCAAACAAGCGATATTCTTCCACGATAGTAATTATGGAAAAATTGTTATCATTACTTGTGAGTTCTGAAAATGAAAAAGTAGACGGAAAAATCCAAATACCTTCATACTTTCGAAACCAGAAGAACTGCCATGACTGCCATGACTTGAGTTAAAATCGGCAGAATTCCGATGGCATCCATTACACGACAAATTGTCAGAATTCTGTCTATTGATATAATGGAATCGTTGTTTCAAAGAAACCGATGAGGAAGGTGATACAGTAATCAAATTCTCCTGACATTCTTTTTCCATGTTCATAAGACAATCTGAAAGTTTTTTCCAACTAATAACTACTGAATGATCTATGTGATATTAAGACACAAAATGGTTGGAAAAGCAAATGTGCAACTACTAATGGAAGTAATCTAGTGGCAATGGTCATAGCAAACCTGATCAATGAGGTCTGCAAGATATATTATTCAATGATAGTGTAGGAATAAAGACATTCTAAAAGTCCCATCTTTGTTCAAAAAATTTCGAACCTTGGCGTTAGACTTGAGGAAACCTAAGGGAGGTTAATTTCCTTAAGGAAAGTTCATTTTCTTCAAGATCAAAAAAGGAAGATAGTTAGGAGGTAGGAAACCTGAAAGAAATCGAAAGATTTCACCAGCTATTACTTTAGAAAATATCTGTATTTCCTCGAATATCAACCAGTAGTATCTTGAAGAAAATAATTAACTGGAACATCATTGGAATTAGCGAGAAGAAAGAAACAATTAAATGTTAATTCGAAAACGTGAATATATATGAAAACATAAAACATAGCTACTTGTTTATAAACTATACATCTGTTCGTGAAGGTGTGCGACAGGTAAAAGGCAGCCGTTTGGTTGGAAACTGACCTGCCTGATTCGTTGAGTCGTTCACTTTGCAACATTTCGCATCTAGGGTAAAGGCCGCATCTCAACCCAACATTATATATATATATATATATATGTGTGCTAACTTAACATCTTAGAAAAAAAGGATTGTCATGCAATGTTTTATAATCATCATCTTGAAGTTTTTTTTTTGTCACTCAATCTTTTAAATTGATTCTTTGAGCTACTTTGTGTTCTACTTAGCTTTAAAGTTACATATTTGTATTTTACCAAATACAACGCACCAAGTACCGAAAACCAGTGTCCATCAAATTTCCGTTAGCAAAACCACCCCTTTTTTCCTCATATAGAATAGATGTTCACTACATTTAATTTCATTTTTGTGTAATTTATATCCTCTAAAAATAGCAAACCTGTTCTTAATGAGCCAATAATCCAATTATTACAGAAACAGCAACTACATAATAAGTGAAAATGAACATGACAACAGTCACTACAATAGTGATGCACTATTGTAAGTTTTCTGAACCAATTTATTCATCTCTCTTCTTACCTTAACATTCCCTTTTAGCAATCATTAAGCTAAGTCTAATGATTTAACCAGTGCATAGAAGTTAGAAAAACCGACCACTGCTGCTTTCGAAAAACTTTCTTAAAAAATCTCGCTCAGTTAAATGTACAAACAGTTAAATATCCCTGAAATTGTCTGTGATATTGCCCTTCAAAGTGATAACATGTAGTCCAAGGATCTTCAACAAAACGCAAAACAAAAATAGGGAAAATGTGAAGGGGTGACAATGATCGGCAAAAATGTTGATGAGTCTCACAGTCTGTGGGTGCCGTCCAAAACTGATTGCAATAGTAAACAGAAATGGAATTCTGTGGCGTAACAGAAAAACAAATGAGATTCAGAAGGAAACACTACTACTACATTTTTTCTTGCAAAAATAATCCGTACACGGCAACAGTAACTGACAACAACATTCTTCGCCTAACCGTTCCAAAAAACATCAGTGAAAGTAAACCACTCTTCATTCAGAAGCGAAATTCACATAAAGTTGAAGCATCACTACCAGTGTTCATGCTTTTCGTGAAGTTCCAAAGAAATATTTGCAATTCAAAATCCTTTTGGTTTCGACTATACAGAACGTTTTTTGCGAATGGTACACAAAAAGATAAACAATTTATAAACAGTTATCATTTGATTTAAATGAAAACAATATGTGACGAGAAGAGACGTACGTGATGATAAGTGCGGTGCGTAAGAATGGAGCAGCTGCTAGCTACTTAAAGTTGCAACACTGATACAGTTACCTTAGGTCCATTACTTATAAGCTAACCAAAATTTTGCCAGTCCTTTTAAATAAAAAATTGCACCTCCATTAGAAAGCGATTAAGTCAAAAATAACCAATGTTGTATTTGCAGATCAAAAAAAAATCATCAAAAGACAAACATTAAGAATATTCTATTCGGGTTACGAATGAATCAATCATTATTATGAGATGCGCGTCTGAGTATGTTAGACAATTTCTTTTTTTTGGTAAAAACCAATCAAGAAGGAAATTCAAAAGAATATCAATAATGAAACAAATGAAACTCGTAAAAACCAAATCGATATAAGAATGAACAACTGAACTTGGCACCAACATTTAGTCGATTAAATATTAGAGAGAGGACGAAATCAGTTCGAAGAATCTTCATTTGATGTTAGCAAAGGAAATTCAAAAACATTCATTCCCAAAGCCAGTAAAAAAAAATCTCGTCAGAAGTATGACCATTACGATCAAATATACTAAAAATGTAAATTGGTGGTTAGCTCAATTTATCCTCACTTACAGATTCTCAATTGTTGCAGATTTCAAATCATTAAAAATCTCTTCTGCATATATTATACTGAACTCATATTCTCAGTGAAGTGCCGTGTGTGTATATGAACAAGATGAGTACCAATACATCTCAATTCGTATTTTTGGGAATGTTCGAAGAAAAAAGTGAAAAATCATGATTCTTTTATTGTCAATCACATCGCCTACTTTGACGAAGCAAAGCTGCTATTAAATCATCTTATGCCATATAATAAAGAAGATTAAAGAACAACACAATGTGCAAGAAAAAATCTCAAAACAAAACGAAAGAGGTAATATATTTTTTCTATCGGCGATTTCTTAAAACTGTGATAAAATTCAACAGGATCGTATTGATGGAAAGCTTTGTTTTTTTAGTAATTTTTTGCTGAATTTTGAACCATTACAATCTATTCTTGATGATTTTATTCCCTGTGTTTTCCTAATCTTGTACGCATGTAGGAGTGCTTCGTAAAGCACCAATAAACGGATTTAAGAGAAGGATGGACGAGGCTACGAAGCAGGGAAGGATGGCTGGGACATAAAGGTACCGGATGTACGATATTAAATAATTGACAGCAGATAAAAACCGGAGGATAGACAAAAAAACCAGTAGAGATGCAGTAAATCAGAAGAACTTTTGGAATAAGTGTAAAATTGACCTAAAATAAGGTTGTGAAAACAGAATTGCCATGTCCAGATCCAGAAAAAAAGGTACCGCTTACTCAATCCAGTAGCCTGCTTCCACTGAATTGTATAAACTGGCAACACATCCTCAGCACCAGCTGGTTCATTCCTTGTCAGCTTCAACTGTTTCAGTGAACCCTAGCCAACAGATTTTGCATTTGCTGCGGTGGCGAGTGTCCAATATCTTCATTTCAGTAACCATGTCTTCATTTACGTCGGGAATATAAGCATAAAAAAGATAACAGTTATCCTAATAAACATTAGTGCGCTAAAAAACCTTACCTTCCGCTCATTAACCTAGGTTATATACAGCCACGTCGTCCTCTTGCACAGTTGTCATTGAGGGAAAGATCAGTGAAAACATTTAGAAAACAAAGTATTTACTCACAAATATTCTTAAAAGCTTGCAAGTGATAAACGATGAAAAGGTGGTACAGACATGGAAATGATACGAACCAATAAACAGAAAAAGAACATATATCTTCTGTTTGTTCCGGATAAATTAAATAATACATAACAGTCAGATTAGGGTTACAGAGAAGCATAGGTGGTCAACAAGCATGCTCAATGCAAAAATTTCCCATATATCAGTTGAACATTGACGTCCGACAGTCTTTGATAAATCCCACATACTAGCAACTATACTTAGTCCAAGTCAAGCTTAAATTCAAATTTCAGAAGTTTTGACGTGTTCTCATCAGTGGTAGAACAAAAAAAAAAAAAAAAAAA